CCACCAGAGCCGGACCAGCGTGTAGTGACGACACGCTCGAAGGCGTCAGTCACGTCGTATCGGGCTTCGAAGCGATCCTCGAGGAACGTCTGGAAATCCACGAAGGTCAGAGTCCGACCCTCACGAAGGGAGTAGGCATAGAAATCCTCCCAGGCCTCGAAAGGACCGCCACGTAGGCGCGTGGAAAGGTAACCCACCCACGTCTCGGGTGTGGCACCCATGAGCTGGAGTGTGCGGGTGGCAGACTGCAGCCACCGAGACACGCGTATGCCTATATCGTCATACAAGGCAATGTCCGACAAGCGGATGAGTGGTGCGCCACCGTTTTGGCGGTGAGGGGATCGAGAGCGGAGGCTTGTGCCACGGCTGAGTAAGTCGGCGCAGGTCCTGGAGAAATGGGCGCAGCTGACTGTGGCAACAGCGGCAGTGGGGGAGCGGCGGTGGCAACAGCGGCAGGCTGCGAGGGTGCTGCGGTAGAAGAGGTCGCAGCAACCGCGGGAGTAGGAAGAAGGTAGGAAGGAGTTGTATAGGGTGCAGGGCGTGGAAAGCGAGCCTGCATGGGAGGAAGGGTAGAGGAGGTAGGGGGTGCGCCCGAAGGCGCGGCCGCCTGTGAGGGTGGGGGTGGCTGAAGGCGTAAGAGGGCGAGGTCGGCCCGGAGCTGGGCAATCTCGTTTGCGAGACCTCGAATGTAGGTCGATCGAGGGGTGGCAGGAGGAAGAGTGGAGGGGGTGGACGCACAAGCGGCGCGGGGCATCCCAGAGGGGGGAGAGCCAGGTACCGCTGAGGTCGTGCAAAGGGGAGGGAGAAGCGGGGCACCCGGAAAAGCTGAGACCATGGTAGCGGGTTGTTGTACCGTGGCCGTAGTGACCGGGATCTGGGCGGGTGCGCCCGTAGACTAAGGAGGGGCCTGGCTCGTGGCTGCTGTCGTGCTAGGGGCGTGGACAGTCACCAAGATGGCCGGGTCAGGGGCAACGGAGGAGGAAGCTCCGCCGTGGCCACCCTGTCGGAGGACGGGGGACCCGGACTGGGAGCCAGGAGATGACGGACACGCTACGTCCTAGAGTTGCTGCATGCCGGCGGCAAGGGTCGCCACATGCGCCTGTAAGGGCGCGAGGGTCGCGAGTTGCGCCTGCATGGGCGCAAGGGTCGCGAGTTGCGCCTGGATGGGCCCAAGGAGGGAGGTGAGGAGGGTGTGTAGATCCCCCTGGGGCTGATGGCCCTGGTCCGCCGGCACGGGTGTGGAGCCCAATGCCGTGGTCATCGCCGTGTCGGCGGCGTGTGACGCACCATCGGCCATGGGGAGATGACGAACTGGACTGGAGGGGGCCAAAAGAGGTCCGCATGAGCGGAGGGCGTAGGGGGAAGTCCGCGGTAGAAAGCGGCGAACGGCGCTAGCAAGGCTAGCACGGGCGCTGTCAAAGGAGGAGGGGTGGTTCGGGTCCAGGGTGCCCGAAGAGGACGGGGAAGTAGGGGGGTCTTGAGGAACCCTAAACCCTACAAAAACCCTAAGAAAACCCTAACCGATGTTTAAGTGGCTAGGGTAGGGTACCGGTGACCTAATCAAGAAAGTAAAATAGCAAGCATAAGGGGGGGGGGGACAGGAGAAAAATAAATAAACAGCGAGATTTCGAGAGAAAATAAAAATAAAAATAAATAAGAAAATAAATAAATAATAAAAATAAGTAAAGAAATAAGTAAAGAGATGAGAAGGGAAACAATATTTATTTTTTTGAAATTTTTCGGCAGCAGTTCCCTACCCCCCACGGGGTCAAGAATGTGCCAAGGGAAAAGGAGAGACCGAGGTGAGCACACTAGAGATGCCGCAAATAATAAAAAAAGAAATTTCAGAAAATAAATAAAGAAATAATAAATAAATAAATAAGTAAATAAGTGTGTGAGGAGGTGGGGAGACATGGGTTATCTGATTTTTTTCAAAAATTTTGGCAGCATTTCGTTACCCCCATGGGGTCGAAGTGTGCCGAAAAGACTAAGTAAGAGAAAATCAGAAAATTTCGGCAGCACTTCGGTATCCCCACGGGGTCAAAACGTGTGCCGAAAGCAAGAAAGGCTAACACCTAATCAGATTTAGGGTTGCCGCCAATAAATTCGAATTTTCAGAAAATAAGAAAAGAGGGTGGGAAAGAAGAGATTTTGAATTTTTGGAAAAGAGAAAAGATAAATCAAAAGAGAGGTGGAAAGAAGAAAAACAGAAAAATTTTCGAAGTAGGGGGGAAGGGGAATGAAAAGTGAGGGAGAAAAGAAAGAAATAGGTGGGGAGAGAAAAAAAGATGAAGTGGGAGGTAGGGGGGGATGGTGTGGTGGTAGTTGGGGGAGAGGAGGGATGGGGAAAGGTGGACAGGGATCAAGAGGCAAAGAGAAAAGAAGGAGGAAGAAAAGAAAAGAAAGAAAGAAAGGAGAGTAAAAGAATGGGTGTTGGGAGAAAGGTGGGGTGGGGGAGATAAGAGGAGGAGAGAAAAGATGTAGTGGAAGGTGGGGAGAAGAGAAGGGGTGAGTAAGAGGAGAGAGGAGAGGTAGGGAGAGTGGGTTAGTAGAGGAAGGGGGGAAGAAGGGAGTGATACCTGGCCCTTGGTGTCTCCAAGGGCACAAGGTACACCAAGACCAGGAGGGTCTTGGTCTTCGCTGCAGCAGCCAGTTGGAGGAGAGAGGGGGCTGAGATCTTGATCAGCCCCCAGCAGCACTTCTGCAGATGTGCAGATGTAGGGTCTGCTGTGTGAGCAGGCCGACTTCAAGACAACGGATCGTCAGGAGAGGAGCGACAGCAGACACGGGTCAGAGGCTACATCCGGTTGGGCACAAGAAATCGTCAGACATGGGATGCCGGTTACATAGCAAACAGTGGACACATCCGGGCAAACAAATCGTGACATACTGCAACGCCGCCACGAGGGAAAGAGGACAGGGGAAGTAGCGCCCCATTCAAGATCTGGTACACTATGCAAAGTCGTGGGGTGAGAATGACCTGAAACCTCAAGGGGACGACGTCAACATCTGGACGTCTTCAAGACGCTGTGGCGAACACAAGGGCTTCCTTTTACTTGAGTAACTTACCATGACTTGCAATGAAAGAGACTGTAATGTGCTGAGGGTTTAGGGGTTAGGGGTTAGGGGATTAGATTATACTCAACTCCGCCCGCTTCGGCGGCTCCGTGCTTCTCCGCTCGTCTCTCCCTCTCCTCCACCGGTGGTGGCCCGCTATGAACACCCACCTCCCCCAAGTCCCTCAATGCATGTGAAAGTCCTCAAACTGCCGACATACCTCAAGGTAACGACCACCCGACTCGTCGTAGCCCGTTTGAGACAACAAATACCTCTTGGCTTATAACCTGCTTGTCGAACAAGCCAAGTGTGGTACTGGTCGAGCTGCGCGGAGAAGTACTGAACATCCCGGCGACGGGGGCTCAGTAAGAACGCGGCGCAGTGTGCAGGCTCCATCATATGCTGTATACGGGCATGCACACGCCTCATGACACGGTTAGAAAAGGACTGGCCAAGAGGGATGCAAGCGTCCCGCACAAGGCGTGCAAGATCCCAAGTCCACTCTACAACGAGGGACATGAACTGCCCGCCACGGTCCATCCGCCTCAGCAAGTCCATGACAGGATCCATGACGTGCTTGATGACACTCATCCTCTCCCACCAAGGGGACCACCTGATCTGTCGGTGCACCCAATGCGCCATGTAGCGGGCGTCGGGGAACCACGGGATCCTAGCCCAAGTCCGACCGTCCTCCGCTGTCATCATGCCCTGCAAACGATCCTGCAGAGCTAGCAGCCTCTCCAACATGGAGTACACGGACGCAAAGCGCGTCTCGCATGAAAGCACGAGCCCCAACACCTTGCCCCGCTTCCGAAAGAAGCTGAGAGCGGCCTGGTGGGTTTTGAAAAACACCACCAGAACTCGGGCACGCGTGATCGTGTCCACGAAAGAGGTGCAGATCGTGCCAATGCCTGACAACAACTTGTTGCAGACATGGACGCAACACGGGAGCCAAGTGATTCTCCTCAGCTAAGGGGGCATAGATGGCGAGGCCAAAGCCCTCGCGGCCCCCACGTATGCAGAGGCGGAGTCAGTGCATATAACATTGACCCGTTGTGGGCCACCGAATATGAAACCGTGAAAGATGGCGACCCATCTCTGCAGGACGTGCACCGCATCGTCCGGCTCCCCCTCTCGGTTGATCGCAGTGTACATGACGACCCCTCAAGACCCAGCTGCGAGGAAGTTCACGATCGGTCGCCCGTCTCGTGACTTCCTCCCGTCAGAGAGGAGGGTGGCGCCACTCACCCATAATGGCTGCCTCATCTCCTCCAACTCCTCCGCTAGCTCCTCGCGGTGGATCTCCACAGCTCGCATGCTTGCGATCTCGCTGTGGGATGGAAGCACGGGAAGAGGTGCTCCACCAGGTTGTCGAAGAGCAATCTGCTGGAGGTCTCGGTACGGTGTGTTGCGGAAGGCATTGAAGGCAATCCTGCTGGAATACACCCAGCGAAAGAATGCCTTCCTCCATTGACCAATCCACTCGCCACCATACGTGTCCGTCATTTTCTGCTGCCGCAGCCTCTTCCCTGCATTGGTGGCAGAAAGATGTGCACCCCCCCCCTTCCTCTTCGAAGAACCCGACGTGCATGCTCTATCAGGAACAACACTCTTCGAAGAACTCGGCGTGCATGCCGTCTCAGGCGGGACGGGCTTCTTCCCGCACCTCCGCTCCCAGTCCACCGTCCTCTGACGAGCCATCGGATCGAGCTTGGGCACGCCCCCCTCTCCCCTCGGTGTCCGCTCCCCCTCAGCCACGCCAACTTCGAGGTTGACGTCTGCCTCGTCCTCCTCCGCGACACCCGCACCCTCCCCATATCTCGCAACACCTCCCTCCACAAAACGCTCGGTATGCTCTCCCTCGCCCACACCCTGTGCAGGACTCTCCGCCTCGCCACCCATCGCACCAGACCGCGGGACATCGAGACCACGCTCGTGTGCGAACCGCCGCACCCTCTCTACCTAATCGGCCTCGAAGCGGTGTGTGCATTTCTGCGCAATCTGGTACAATACATCGTCGGACACCTTCTTGCAATAATTCAGCTGGGTGAAGCGTTTTGTTGCGTAGTATTGGGTTCCCTGAAACACCTTATTGCAGAAGGTGCACCGTAGCATATTAACCCCCCGGTGTCGACCTTCTGGCCGACAACAATGTAACGGTACACAGCAGATTTGCGCCTATAATCCTGTTGCACATGTTAGGCGCAGGCTCATGTTCGCGCGTCTGTTTTCGCGGCATTGTGAACCCCCCTCAAGGTCGCGCCCGTCCAGTCATAAGCGCCTCCCCTCCGACCCCTCGTGCCCAGCGGCGCCACAGAGAAGGCCGTATCCCCGGCCTGCCCCGTCCCAACACGGTAACACCCGCCCCGTTTCTCCCACCGCCAAGCCTGCGCTCGATGTCGTCGAACCACACCCCCCCCGCCCAAACCGTTGAACACCCGTTGAACCCCCGTTGAACCCCCGTTGAACCCCCCGTTGAAAACCCGTTCAACTCCCGTCGAAACCCCGTTTAACTCCCGTTGAAACCCCGTTGAACACCCGTTGAACCCCCATCCAACAATTTTCGGACGACTTCGAGGCAGCATTCTGCCCGGTTCGCCTTCTGTGAACGGGTGCGCGTCCTGACTTGCACACTGGTCAACGGGATCCACCGGCGCCGCTGATCGGTCAAGGATGTCGCCTGCACCAACAAAAAATAAAATAATCAATCAATCAAACAATCAATCAATCAAGCAAGCAAATGGGGCAAACCAGCAATCAATCAAACCATCAAACCAACAATCAATCCATCAATCAATCCATCAATCAATCAATCAAGATCTTGATTGATTGATTGATTGACTCTTTTCATCAATCAATCAATCTCTAGCAGGTTAACCGAGCACCCATTTTTCAGGCCCATTTATAAGAAAACCAGACAGTCATTTTAACAACACTTCACACCAATCTATAGAGTGCACTTCTTACGACCCCATCACAGAAAAGAAACCCTAAAAAAATCAATTAAAAACATATAAAACAGCAAGCCAAAGGTGCGTTTCCATGAAATTTAGCCCAAAAAAAACTCGACGAATTTCAAAAATTTCAGAAATCTTAATAGCGCAAATTCTAAAACTCCAAATAACCCCAAATTTCATATACAGCAACCCTATCAAAATGCATATATAGCAAAAACTTGAAATTCCAAAAAAACTTGAAATTTGAGCCCAAAACCCTAATTTCATAAATTTCAGGCCTGAAAACCAGATGCCCCGTTAACCTCTTGTGATCAATCAATCTATCAATCAATCAATCAAGCAATCAATCAAGATCTTGATTAATTGATTGATTGATTGATTCATTGATTCATTGATTGATTGATTGATTTTGTATTTTTTAT